TCTGTTACTGGCCTTCTGCATTCTCCAAATATTATGTCTTCCAGTTCTAGAAGATTGTCAAAATCTCTCTTGCTGTCTCTTCTGAGCTGTGGTCCTCTTCAATACTCTTAAGCTTGCTCCCTTTGCTAGGAAATGGCAAATGGCATGATTTCTAGTTCTCGTTGTAGAGATCTTTCACCTCCTTGGTTAAATTTATTCCTAGGTATTTTATTTTTTGGTAACTATTGTAAATGGGCTTGCATTCTTCTTTGTCTGCTAGTTTGTTGGTGGAGTATAAAAACGCTATTGGTTTTTGTATGTTGATTTTGTATCCTATCAGCTCTAAGAGTTTTTTGGTAGAGTCTAGGTTTTTTTTATATATAGGGTCATGTCATCTGCAAACAGGGATAATTTGACTTAGTCTTTTTTAATCTAGATACCTTTTATTTCTTTCTCTTGCTTGATTTCTCTGGCTAGTACTTCCAATACTATACTATGTTTTCGGTAATGGGCCACAATAATCAACCACATCGTATACTGACAAAATAAAATTAAAAAACAAAAAAACAATACTATATTAAATAGGATTGGTAAGAGTGGGCATCATTGTCTTGTTCCCATTCAGGGTGATATTGGTAGTGGGTTTGTCATATATGACTTTTATTGTGTTGAGAGACTTCCCTTCTATACCTAATTTGTTGAGTCTTTATCATGAAGGGATGTTGAATCTTGTCAAATGCCTCCTCTGCACCTTTTGAGATAATCATATGGTTTTTGTCCTTGATTTTGTTAATGTGGTGTATCAGATATATTGATCTGCTGAATTTATTGAGTTTATTGATATGTTGAACCATCCTTGCATTCCTGGGGTGAATCCTACTTGATCATGATGTAGTCTCTTTGATGTATTGTTGTATTCTGTTTGCTAATATTTTGTTCGTGATTTTTGAATCTATGTTCATCAAAAATATTGGCCCATATTGTTTCTATTTTTGTTATGTCTTTGTCTGATTTTGGTATCAGGGTGATGCTGGCCTCATAGAATGAGTTTGGGAGAAGGGAAAATTATGTTAAATGAAATAAGCCAGGCACAGGAGGAGAAATACTACATGTCCTCACTCATAAGTGGGAGCCGAGAGAGAGGGAGGGAGGGAGGGAGGGAAGGAGGAAAGAAAGGAAGGAAGGAAGGAGAAAGAAAGAAAGAAAGAAAATCTATAATAAAATGTTGAACTTTCAGAAGTAGAGAAAAAACCTATGGTTATTAGAGTTGGGGAAGGGGTAGGGGTAAGGAGGGATGGGAGTAATTGGGTAAGGGACACAAAAAGTAATTACAATTTATAATGATGAAATGCTAATAATATTGATTTGATCATCACATACTGTACACAAATACTGACAGTCAACTCTGTATCCCATAAATATGTATAAATAAAAATAAAAATAAAAACAAAACAGTAAATTAAAAATAAATTAAGAAAATTACCTGCCCCCAAAAGCTAGAGAACAATACATCACAAAAACAGAAATGAAATCCATCTACACAGTCAACTAATCTTTGAAAAGGCACCAAAAACATACACTGGGAAAAAAACAGCCTCTTCAATAAATGCTGCTGGGAAAACTGGGCATCCATGTGTAGAAAAATGAAATTAGACCCGTACCTCTCACCATATACCAAAATCAACTCAAAATGGACTAAAGACTTAAATATAAGATGTGAAACTATAAAAATCTTAGATGAAAACATAGTAGAAACACTTTAGGTTGTAGGACTGGGCAAAGACTTTATGAGTAAGACCTCAAAAGCATTAGCATCAAAATAAAAAATAAATGAGATTATATAAAACTAAAAAGCTTCATAAAGGAGCTGAATAGACATTTCTTAAAGGAAGACATACAAATAGCCAATAGACACATTGAAAAATGCTCAACATCAGTAAGCATTAGGAAAATGCAAATCAAAACCACATTGAGATATCATCTCACCCCTGTTAGACTGGCTATTATCAAGAAGACAGAGAATAACAAATGCTGGAAAGAATGCAAAGAAAGGGGAACCCTCCTACACTGTTAGTGGGACTGTAAATTAGTATATTCATTATGGAAAACAGTAAGGTGGTTTCTTAAACAACTACAGCTAGAACTGCCATATGATCCAGCAATCTGCCGCTGGGTATATGCCCCAAAGAATGGAAATCATCATGTCAAGAGGATACCTATGCTCCCATGTTTATCTGAGCTCTATTTACAGTAGGTAAGAGATGGAACCAGCATAAATGTCCATTGACAGATGACTGGATAAGGAAAATGTGGTATATATACACAATGGAATACTGCTCTGCTGGAATGGAATAAAAAAGAATGAAATTCTGCCATTCACAGCAACATGGATGAACTTAGAGAAAATTATGTGAAATGAAATAAGCTGGGCACAGAAAGAGAAATACTGCATGTCCTCACTCTTAAGTGGAAGCTAAAAAAATAACAAAATACATAAATAAGAAAGAAAGAAAGATACAACCATCATGGTAATGTGTTGAACTTTGAAAAGGAGAGGACAGACTGTGGTTACTAGAGTTGGGAAAGGGAGAATGAAAGTGGTGTTTGCAAGAAATCGATAAAGGCTCACAAAGAACGATTACATTTTGTAATGATGAGTGTAGCAACTTTCCTGATTCCATCACCACATATCGTACACAGGTGTTGATATTCAACTCTGTACCCCACAAATATGTATAATCAGTTATGTTTCAATTTAAAAAAAAAGGAGCAAAAAGTCAGATGCCCTTGAGGGAACGAACAGTTACTCCTGAAATGTCCTCTCACTTCTCTGCTGTTCCTTTCTCTCTGAGTTCTTGGCCACTCCAAGTCTGGCTTGCTTCATTAGCTCTCCAATGCTTCAACCAGGTTTTTAAAATGTTATCCTTCAAAAGTTAATCTGTCATAACTAGAAGCAGATGTCAAGAAATTATTTATTGTACGTACTGTGTGCCAGGTTAGTGTTAACTGCTGGTAGTATAATGGTAATGCATTTACATGACATATTTTCTTTCTTTTATTAATTTAAAAAACTCCAAGTTTTAAGAAATAGCATCAAACAATATAAAATACTTAGTAATAAATGTGACAAAAGATGTGCAAGACCTGTACACAAAAAGTACAAAACATGGCTGAGAGAAACAAAATTTAAGGGGAGGGAGAACCATAAAGAGGGAATAATTCATGATTCTTAAAATTTACTGTGACACTTTCAGAAAGAAGCTAATCTCTATGTTTCAGCCATAAAATATTATTTTATTTCTTAACTTAAAAGGAGACATATATACACATATATGAATCAAGTTAGGTTATAAATGTATATAAAACAATAGTATAAAAAGGTGTAGGGCCGAGCCCGTGGCGCACTGGAGAGAGTGCAGCGCTGGGAGCACAGCAGCGCTCCCGCTGCGGGTTCAGATCCTATATAGGGATGACCGGTGGGCTCACAGCGCTCACTGGCTGAGTGCGGTGCAGCCGGTCTCAAAAAAGACAAAAAAA